GAGACGAGGGGCACGACATTCCTCAGCCACACCACGGAGGGCGGGGGGTTCCCGCGCACCTCACAGGTGAGCTTGGCGCTCTGGCCCCACGGGATGACCAGCTGGGACAGCTCCATGGTGACCTCGGGGGGCTCTGCCAGGAAATCATCGTAGGGGTGAGAAGAGCCGGGTCTTCCCATCCCCGGGCCTCACAGACTGGGAGGGGATGCAGTCACAAGAGGCTCCCTCCATCCCCTTCGCTGTTGGTTTTCCTAATGAGCAGGGGCAGAGGGCCAAACCCCACATCTCCTCCTGACTCAGGACAGGAAAGGGACGAATGTATGCGGGCCTTGCCCTGGGATCTGAGGATCTGACTCTTGAGTGTGCCTCAACCAGTCACCCAAGAGGAAGCCTTTCGTAAGACACTAACCCTCTCTGAGCCAGGGTTATTGCTTTAGAAAGGCCAGAGCAGACCAGAGAGAAGGCCAGGAAGAAGGTTCACGGAAGACACTCACCAAACACCTGGACGTTGTAGAGGATGACCGCTGCCCCGGGCTCCCCAACCCCGTTGTCGGCCATGCAGCGGTAGGTCCCCGAGTCCTCCTCACTCGTGGTGTCGATGAGGAGGTTGCTTAGCAAGAAGCGTGTCTTGTTGTAGCTGGTGACACTGGATCCATCCTTGGCCCAGGTGACCCGTGGGGGTGGGATCCCACTGGCCACACACTCCAGGATGAGACTCTGGCCTTTGGTGACGATGATGGTCTGGGCCTCTGGTGGGTAGACAATGCGGGCAGCCTCAGCAGTAGAGCCTGCAGGGGTGAGGAGAGGAATTCAGATATTGGGGGAGGGGACAAGGACTTCCTGCAGGGGATCCCCTCCAGCCCTGGCCCAATCCCAGAGAGCATGGATTCAGGCTCCAACAGTCTTCAGGACTTAAAACAACTTCATGGGCTTATAGACTGTTGCTAACACCCCTGGACTTTGGTTTCCTTATCAGGAACAAGGACTTCCCCCTGCAGAGAGCTGTCCTGAGTAAGAAATGAGATAGTATAGGAAACAGCAGGTGGCGTAGTGGTTATGTTGCTGGATTCCCATGTAGTCAACTGTGGTTCAAGTCCTGTACCCAGCAGCTTGAAACTCACACTGGGCGTGTGTGCATGCATACCTCAAACCTTAAGAGGAGACTGGAGATGAAGGGATTGTGGCATGGCCATCCCCCCGGGGGGTGATTTCTTGCTTTCTGTCTCTCTGTCTCTCCAGTGAGTACACAAACTCTACAGCAAAAACCTCTCTAAAAAAAAGAAATGATAGTACAGAGAGCAGTGTGAGTGTGACACACAGCACCTTTAACTATGTGTGTGGGAGAGCAAGAGAGGGGTGTGGAGAGAGTAACTATTCAAATGGTGTGGGTGGCTTTTCCTGCTTGTGCTCAGTAAGTGCATGGCAAGGCCCGGGATGAGGTAGGTGGGAGACCCTCTGCCATGCCCTGCTTAGCTTGGGTCTCGGTCCCTCCCAGTGAGTATCTCACTGGGCCAAATAGGACCCATGTTAAAGCTATGCATGTCTCACATTGCTCAGTCCCCAAACACAGACCAGTGTCTCAGCAGCGCGCTGGCAGAATGCAGTGGAAGGTACGTACTCTCCAATGTCCTGATGTCCTTGGACCCTACGGGGACCAGGTGGACCATGCCTGGTGTTGTTTTATATGCTAACCAGGGCATTTACAGGCTTTATTAAACCTGAAACTTACACAGTTCGGGAAACCCTCTTTAAGAAAAAGAATACATGGACCAGCAGATAGCATAATGGTTACTGTTGGGCTCCCACATAGTTGACCACAATTCAAGTCCTGGACCCAGTGGCTTAAAACTCATGCTGGGCAGGTGTGCACTCATGCCCGAAATCCTGGAAGGGGAATGGAGGAGAAGGAATTGGGGCATGGTCATCCCCTTTGGGGGGAGGGTGATTTCTCTCTGTCTCACTTTGTCTCTTTGGCAAGTGCATGCATCCTATAGCAAAAATCTGTCTAAAAAAAAAAAAAGAATACAAAGTGAGGCCAATGAAGGACCACTGCAGTTTATCTTCACTAGCTTCACAGTAATTCCACCTCTGGTGCCCACTCGAAAACCCAGTTCTGTGCAAGATATCAGGCTACTGATTGTGCAGGGATGCTAGAACATGGTCAGAAAAGGTAGCTGTTGTTTTCCTAGTAATGGGGGAACCTGGAGTCCCCCTGGACTATCACTAGAGGAAGGTGTTGGGGCAGTGCACTCACGGCAGGCCCAGCCAGGGCGCTCGTCAGGTCTGGGGCCTCCCACAAGGCATCTTTTCTATACAAAGCCATGTCGGCTGCTGAGCAGAGACCATCCTGCCCAACACGCATGTTCCAACCGATCCCACTCACACAGTAGCACAGAGAAGGAAACCTCTGCACAGGCAGAAGGAAGGGGACATCCTGCAGAGCTCTGATGTGAGCTGCTGTCTGAGCCAGGCCATGTGCCAGGATGGCACTAGGGCTGGCCAGAGCAGGAGACAATCCCTGGCTGAGTCCTGGATGTCCTGCTGGTCGGAGCCCCACAGTCAACCTTCGCCCTGCCCCCAGCCTGGAGAACACACAACTGGAGCCTGCACAGTGGCACCCCCATGCTCCCCCTCTCTTCCCAGCTCCATTAGCCCCTCCATCGGTGATATTCCCCAGCCACCACCACCCAGCCGGTGAGTCTGGCCCTTACGGCGCACGCGCAGCCTGTCACTGGAGCCAGAAGTCTTCACTTCCTGGGTCACTGGGTTGTAGGCGGCGCACTTATACATGCCCTCGTCCTCCTGGCTGGCGTTCACGATCTGAAGGTTCCCCGAAGGCATGATCAGGTAGTTGTCTGCAGAAATGGCAGTGAGGGGAACATGGAATGAGTTTGAGCCCAGAATATTGTACTCTGAAACTCCCACAAATGGAACGGATATGAGGGAGTCAGGACAGGCAGGCAAGAGCCAGGAGCTGATGCATACCTGAGTCCCAACAGGTCCAAACTTAAAACACTATTTTCTTCATAAAACCTTGCCTACAGCAGAGGTCATAACTAGCAGTCCAGCTAATGAGCTGGTTGGTGGGCTGACTGCTCCAAGCTACTGCATAGGTCTGTGGAAGGGCATTCTGTACTTTCAAGGGGGCTAAAGGAGGGTGGAGAGGATGCAGATTTGGGGTCATCCAATCTTGGGCTCAAGCTCTGATGTACGGGGTGTGGAGGGCACTGCATATGGAACCATCTTGAGCTATCCGCCATCTTGAGCTATCCAAGATGGTGGATAACTCAAGATGGCGGATAGCTCAAGATGGCTTCCGTATGCAGTGCCCTCCACAACGGGGTACTAACTGTGATCTTGGGCAAGTTAGTTAACCCCTTGCATCTTGTTTCCTCTTTGTAAAAGGGCAGAATGCATGCTGCTGCAGAGCCCTTGTAAGACTCAAAGGGCGCATGCTGCCCATATCAGTGACGAGATGATTATTCCTGCAAGTCTCCAGGAAGGACAGATTGACCCTGAAACTTCCCATCGGTTACTGCTCTGAGCGGTACCTGCATTGATGCACTGGGGTGGAATGGTCTCACCCCCATCCACCGCAGAAAAGTAAACCCTTTTCTGCACATCACTGGCTTGTTAGGTTTTGTCTGCTCTTGGTCCAGGGGTGCCCAGAATGTGGTCCTAGGGGCGTTTCCAGATTCTTTGAATAAGGAGGCAGGTTCACACTTCTGGACACCCCAGTGCCTGGGGTGGTGTTAAGCTTCCTGGCAGCCAAGGTGCTGGCTGGCAGCTCTGACTTTGTCCTGGTGGCCTCTCCAGGGAGTTGTGATGTCACCAAGCTTGGTGCCTGCCTGCTGTCGGGCCACCCAGGTGTGAGCTGCTCAGGCCAGTGCCAGATGGAGTGGGAAAAGCTCCCACCCTGTGGGGTGAGCTGGCTCCCCGTGGGGCTGCCACCAAACTTCTGCTGGGAACAGTAGGGATTAATGCTCTGCTCTCTGTCTCTAGTCATTTCAGAGCGGTAGGACTAGGGTTTTTCCTCTTTCAGAAACCAGTTTTCTGTGTTTTCCAAGTTTTCTACTATGAACACACATGTATGTAGTCCTCCCATAACTAGAAAGTTCATTTTAAAAAATCTTAAAATCTATAGGCTATTTTAAAAGAGACACATTTTGAGCTGTGAGGTCAGGTCAAGTTGAGTCTACGTGGCCTTGAGTACAGGGTCAGCTGTAGGGAGAAGCAGACTGCAGCCTTGATCGTGAAGGACATCTTCTTTCCCCCTCTCCGACCCCTGTCCGCACTCTGGGACCAAAGCTAGGCCTCCCCTGGACCAGCTGTCCTGTCCACTGCAGCCTGAGCAGGGAGATTACTGCAGCACCAGGAAATGGAGAGAGGGAAAGCATTAAGTTCCCTAGAAACGGTGCTCTGCCGTGTGAAGATGAGCCCTCCTCCCACCAGGGACCACAAAGCTCTGGGGATGGCTGGGTTTGCAAGGCAGCCTTTCTGTGTGTGCTGGGTGGCAGGGGGTTCACCCAGGAAGTATCTGGAACCATGTGCTGAGAGCCCTTATCAAATGGCAGCAGCTCAGCAACAACTTCCACGGCCTCAAAGGGGCAGGGACCTCCATAATGGAACCCATCCCCTTTAGGGATCGTACAGGGCTAAATATCAAGACAGGAGACATCTGACTGGCATGAGGTTATGAGGGTTTGAGAGTCAGCAGCAACTGACCCAGTTTTATTGGGCAGAGTGTGGTCAGAGCTGGCCGGCTCCTCTCCTGGCTTTAGCCTCAGGGCCTGCCAACTCACCTCTGGAGGCCTCCAGCCACTCCTGTTTGACGCTATAGCGGACCTGAGCTTTTGGGTGGCTCTCGGGCAGGTGGCAGGCAATGACGGCTGTGTTTCCCTCATCCACTTCAATCACGTGCTGCACATCTAACTTAAAGTCCTGGAGATCTGTGGAGAGAAGAGAAGATGTCGATTGGGCCTTATTGGAGGAGAGTGGCCATCTGACATTCCAGAGTGGGCTCATGCCATGGTGTTTTTCACATAAACAGCTGCAGAACTTCACTTAGGGGGGCTGATGGAGGGTACTCTGAGAACTTCCTCCAGCCTCCTATTGTCTATGGGAATTTGTAAGGATGGAATGTGTGGCCCTCATCATAGACAGGAGTTCAAATTGCTGTATATATCAGTTGGAAGAGGGTGTAGATAATTCTACTAAAATTGCCCCCAACACAGTCCAGCTTCTTCTGCTTCAGTGAGAAGCAGGGGCAGGTTGGCTCTGCTCTTCTCCCTGGAAATGGGTCACAGTCAAGGCACAAATGCCTCAGCACAGTTGTAAGGAGCCTCAGTGATTAGAGACCAGAGGAACAATAAAAGAAAATGCTTAAGTCCTTTCTCCAGTTCAATTAAGAATAGCCTTCCTACTGTTTTCTCAGACATCCACAGTGAAAAGTCATAGACCTGAGATGCTGTTTGATTGTTGACCCTGGTTAGAGCCAGAAAGATGATTCCTGCTAACTCAGGAGCTAAACTCTATCACATGGCTAATCCCTCTTTGAGGCTAGGGGTGGGGCTTTGTGGATGTCTGAGGGTTTCTTAAGGCAAAGAGTGACAACAGCAGCAATCCAGTGTGGCTTCATAGCAGTGGCATGTGGGGGAAACCGTGGGCTCTGACACAGAGGCCACAGTCTTTGGCAAACTTGTGGCTACCTCTCCTATACTATGAGCCTCTCTCCCACAGTACAGTGGTTAAATTCTGTGGGACAAAAATTAAGATCTAACCTGAGAGAGGACAGAGATTCATCTGGAACAAGAGTGGGATGTTTCTCAAACCATCAAGAGTCCAAACAACAAGCATGACTTTGTATGAGTCAAATCACTGATGTGGCCAAACAAAATAGGGGCCATTTATGCAACAAGACTACATTCCATATTGGAAATTTGTTTTTCAGGATTATAGCTAAATTTAATTTAAGAGAGGAAAGACACTTAATGGGGCAGAAGATAAGAGGGAAGAAAATGTCTTATCCAGACATTCTTTTCATCAAAACTCTCAGAAAGCCCTTGAGGCACCCTCTCCGAATGCTGACCACCCCAAATTCTGCTCAGCTCCTGAGGGCTGATAGCATCGGGCCTCCTGCAATTTCACTGCAAGACTCTACCTGCCCCTGTTGTTGTTTCCACTGGAGACCCAGAGAAGGCAACTGGAGCAGGAAGGAATCAAGTTTCTCACAGAAGACAAAGAGATAATTACCAAAAACAAACTACTGTCACCAGAGGAGAGCCTAGTGATAAAGGTACTCAGTGAGGTCAGGAGGTTTCCTACTTAATGGAACTGTCCAAAAACTCTTAAATTAAGCTAAGCCAGGGCAGGAAAGCTCTATTGTTTCTAAGAAAGGATCACTGTTTTGATTACAATATTAGACTGTCAAACCTTTAGGGACAGGAAGCAAAGTCTTGTTCATATACGAGTCCTCTGAATCTAACCAGGTTCTAGCCTAAGTAGATACTCAGTAAATGTCAAACGAGTGAATATCTTGGAAGCTGAGCTCCACAAGGTATAAAATGTTCATTTATGTTGCATGTGAGCTCAAATTCTCTAGTTGAGTTTGGTCTATATGGTAAGGTAGAGGACAAGGACCTAGCACAACAAATGTTGCTGAACATTGTACCTAAGTGTGTCCAATGGAAGCTATTTTGAAAACAGGGTATTTCTTTAGAGGTTACTTCTTGGGTCATAGAAAAACTGAAATGAGTCTAATAAACACAGCATAAGAAAGACATGATGTTCATAGTGGTGTGACAGAGTGCCTGATGCACTTCAGCCCCATTTTATTTTCCAGGCTGATCAGGCATTTGTGGGTCAAGATGTGATTTCTCATGGATTCCTTCTTTAGGGGGATGTGTCAGGCCTCCTGGGATTTTAAATAATTATTTTATCATTATTTAATTTTGTGATATCTGATCTTCACAAAATTATAAATTCCTGATAAGAAGCCCATTAATTTTTTTCATGTACTGCCCTTACTCCAAGTCCCATTAGTGCTTGGGATACAGCAAATGCTCTCTAAATCCTTGCTGAATGAATGGGTAGTTTGGAAGGCTAAGCCCAAGGTCAGCTTCATGGGCTTACACCCTGTCCCTGTACTTGGAAAGAACCAACACTTGGCTTAATGCTATACCGTCATCATATTAAGATTCTTAATGTTTGAACAAGGGACCCTACATTTTCATTTTGCATTGGGCTCTGAAAATTATGTTGCCCAGTCCTGGCCAAGACTCTGAGCCAAGATAATGATTTTTTTTTTTTTTTTGTCTCAGAGAGAAGAAGATTTGGACTATAGTAAAGGGATTGCCTGATTTTAATGTGTTCTAACTAAATATTGGTAACTTTACTTTTTGAAAACAACTCACTTACAAAATGCAAAGACCTTAATCTTCCTTTAGGCCAGCATACCCTATACCTGCCAAACAGGAGGCTCCCCACCAAGCACTATGAGCAATTGAGCACTCAGAGGCATCTGGAAAATTCCTCAGGCACTGAAGAAGCATTCTCTTCCACGGTCTAATAGAGCTAAAACTACTCCACCAAGAGCTATTTTTTTCTCCTCCTTTTCTTTACCTCACTCCAAGAAAAATTTGCCTTAAGCAAGAATATACTTAAACTTAGCAGATTATTTTGCAAGAGAGATGTGAGCAATTGAAAGGAGTTTGGCACCGGGATGCCATCTCCATCTTCATGGCCCCGAGCTCCTGTCCATTGTAATTGAGGGCTTATCCAGACATGGAGCACACACCCCTCCAATGCACCCATCTCACCAACTTAATGCTAAAAACACTGGGCCCTCCCTTAAGCTCCTTTTGGCTTCTCTGCACTCTCTGACAACTATGTGGTTGGAGACAGAAGGCTATGCTGTGGGGAGACATGAAACTGTGCACCGGTCAGCCATGTGGGCCAGACATCTCCTCTGTTCTAATGCCAACATGTGCACAACAGCCCATGTGGGCAGGGCCAAGGGCACCCCAGCTGGGCGTCCAGCTCCCCACAAGAGCCGACTGGCAGGCAAGTCTTTCTGGCTTCAAAACAAATAAGCAGCAGTTTGGTCCTTGGCCCTGTCCCCTCCCTGTGCCTCCCAAGCTTAAGTTTTAGCTGTTGCTTCACTAGACAAACACTCCCAATTTGGCTGCTGGAGCAAAACTTGAATTTCACTGAAAGATCAAAGGCGGAGTAATGAAGTGATGAATGATCTGGAAATCAGAGAACCCCCTTTTCTAGTGTTTTTGGGCAGGAAGGAGGCTAGGGAGGGGTGGAGTCTGTATGATCAATAACAGTCTAATCAGCCATCAACCCAGGCAGATGCAGAGAGATCCAGTTGGCGCAGATGAAGGAAAACAGCCTGTTCCCAGGCCTCTTTGTCTGCAGAGTCGGTTTCCTGGCGGCGTCCCTGGCTCCTCAGTGTGCTTCCCTGGGAATGAGGGTAGGGCCTTCCATTACAAATGGGGTTAGCAGGACTTTACTGCAGAATGATGGATCAGGTTTCATGGGGACATGGTTTGACAGGACACCTGCTTTGCCTGTTGGCTGATGTGTTTGAGAAATCCATTGTTTTTGCAGCTTTAATCCTCCTACCTTCCCTCACACCCCTATTTGCATCCTGTCTTTGAGCATTCTTCCAGCTTCTTCACTAATGTGTCCACGTTCATCAGATGCTGGAAGTATGTAGCTGTTTCTCAGCTCTTGACAGGACAGAAGCCCTGGTCTTCCATGCCATCTATGAATTTATGACCTTCACATGTCATAGAACTTTGTGCTTTCTCACAAAGCCCATGGTATTTTAGGCCCCGCATAGGACCCTGCCCGGTTCCTTTCTTAAAGAAGGATGAATATGGTGGTATATCACTTCTGTAGGACACGTAGATGCTCAGGTTATAGTGACATGTTCACAAACGCACCATGACCTGCACTGTGAAGGCTTCCTTGTCACATTCATAGGCTACATGAGGCCATACCCTCTCAGCCACGGGAAAGAAGAGAAAGCAAATGAAGGATTTGTAGGGGGTCGAACAATGGCAGAGCAGTAAAATGTGATGCTCTATGAAGCTGATCCAAAGGGGAAGGTTCCAGGTTGGCATCTAGAGACCTCCATGACCGTGTTGGGCAGTGCACATTTATGACCCAGGGCTGGCTGAGGCTGGGGGTGGATGTCAGCATTGAGACTGCTCTCTCTCTCTTATTGAAATAAATAACTAAAAAAACAAAAAGAGACTTTTAGAGGTATATGGGTGTGGCTGCCATCACCAGAATCATTTGTGAAACTATAAATGGACCAATTTTATCTAGAGCCCCTCTTGAATTTCTTTCTTGCCACCATCTTTTCTTTATTAATAAAAGGCTGAGTAAAGTTGTGAATTAAATTATAATTATTTGATGTTATGTTCATGTATTTTCATAACACAAGCTGTCAAATTCTTTTCCTTTTTAAAATTTGCTATAGGACATGTGCGCTTGCTGGAGAGAGACAGGGAGTTGAAGGGATTAAATTTCACCCTCCGAGAGGGGATTGCCATGCCACAATCCCTTCTCCATTCTCTTCTTGGTATTTTGGGCATGCATGCATGTAGGCCTGGCATGTTTTTCCAAGCTTCCTGGTCTGGGACTTAAACCACATAGTTAGCCATGTAGGATCCTGCTCCTTTAACCACTACGCCATCAGCTGGCCCTGTCAAATCTGAATAGTAGGCTTATCCCTCAATTTTCATGAACTTTACCTATTCAGTGACAGGATGTTTTGGGTCTCGGCTAATTGTACCCAGTAATCCATAAACCTAACAATCTCTCCTATGCGATTTCCTCATTTTATCTTCTCCCTGAGTCCTTTGGGCTGTCAATCAAAGTTCAATTTTGTTATAGTAAAAAGTCAAGTAAAACAATACCTGTGGCGTGTGTCATG